TGAACTTTGCATCTGGTAGATTGTTTGCTTCCATTTTGTTTAGTTATTTTTCTGAAGTTTTGTCCTGTTCTTTTGTGACCTGTTTCTTTGTCTCCTCATGTTGGCTGTCTCCTTATGTTTGTTCTATATATTAGGTAGATCCACTATGCCTCCCTGTCTTGAAAGAGTGACCTTATATAGTAGGTGCCCTGTTGGGTCCACTGGCATAGTCTCTCTGGTCACCTGAGCTAGGTGCTCCAAGAGTGTCCCTTGTGTTGATTGTGTGTGCTCTCCTATTATAGTTGAGCTTTGATTGCTGTTTGCACATCAGCGGGTGTGATCAATCCTCAGGCTGCTGGCTGTGACAACTGGTCATGACATCAGTGAACAAGCTATTGTGCAAAGACTGTCTCCAGAGATTTTAGCAGGTCTCTGGTATCTGCTTATTCTTCTCTTTGGGTGTGTCATTTGTGGCACTAATTGGGTAATGCTCTGGTGTGCTCTGAATCAGGCTACCAAATGTGTTGGTTCTGTGGCCCCTTTGGAGGGGCTCTGGTGCAGGCCAAGGGCAAACACTGCCTGTGTCCAGCCCAGGGCCACCTGGTATAAGCTACAATGCAATCTGTAGTTGGTAGCTGCCTGTACTGGGCTTAGAGGTACCTGGGAGAGCCTATACCGTGAACTGAGGCCAACTGCCACTACTGCCAGATTTGCAGCCACTTAACAAGAGGTACAGGGCACAGTGAGCTCTGCTTCTACTTGTTTGGGGTTTGTAAACCTCTGAGAGGTTTTAGGAATGTCAGTGCAGGCTCAAGCTGGCCTCTGAAAGAGGTTCAGGCCAGATGCTTGTATTGGATAGGGTGGGGTATCAGAGGATCACCAAGGAAGGGAAAGATCAGTGTTAGCCAGGTTAGTGGAAACTTAGATTTGGCGCCTGTGTGAGCCTGCAGGTTGTGTGGGGGCAGGGCTCAACAAAGAAACAATGATGCCTGTAGGCACTTTAGTCTTCAAGAGAGCTGCCCCTCCAGCCCTCACGTTGAAGCCAGACAATTCAGTTGCTCTCCATTTGTCTCTGGCACTTTGAGAGCTTCTCTGGAGCTTAACACAAGTGTCTGTGGGTGAGTCTGTGCTAAGGCCCCTTAAGAGGATGCCTGATTCTACAGCAGTCCTTCATCTCACCCAATCTGAGTCTTCTGATTTTCACAGCCATCTGTTGTGGGAATCCTTTTCCTGACACTGGTGGTTCAGACTGGGGAGCCCAGTGTGGGACTGTGACTTCTCGTTCAAGTACCTCTTTCAAGTATCTCGTTCAGATATCCCTGTTGTTTCATAACCACCACACGTAGGTGTGGGACCAGCCCATTACATGTCTCTGCCTCTCCTATCAGTCTCGATGTGGCTTCTTCTTTATATCCTTAATTATAGGAGTTCTGTTAAGCTCATCTTTAGGTGGTTCTCTAGGATGTGTTTGTTTTATAATTTAGTTGTCATTTTGATATGGTTGTGGAGGGCGGGGGGAGGGACGAACACAGTGTTTTCTGACTCTGCCATCTTGACAGACGTCTATCTTTTTACTTTTGCCATATTTGTTTCTTTGAATCCAAAATATAAGTCTTGTAGATAGCAACAATTGAATCTTGCTTTTTATCTAGTCCAACAATCTCTGCCTTATACTTGGCGGATTAAGACAATAACATTAATGCAATTGTTAATGTGACTCTATTTAATTTATTACTGGGTTATTTGCTTGTATATGTCACCTGCAATTTTCACTGTTCTCTTCCTAAAGTCAGCTTCTTTAAACAGACATTTGTAACATAAAATTTAAAGTTTTTCTATTTTCTTACTGTATTTTTTAAAGATTATTTGTGATGGTTGCTGTTCTGGTTAGAATAGGCTTCCTATCATTTTGTGGTCTACTTCAGATTAAAACTAACTTGATTCCAGTGAAATACGGAAACTTGCATCCAACATCTCTTTATATTCTTCCAGCAACAACACAGTGATGCTTTTAATATGGGCACCTGATCCAATGCAGACCAAAGCCATGTGCAGGCTTCAGAGTTTTGTGATATAACTGGGAAGAGAAGTTCTCTTTACTTGTAGAGTCAATATGAGGAGATTCATGTTTCCTTCCTGAACTGAGGATACAGTCGATATAAAGAGGACAAATAGAATTTGGAGAATGACATAGACCAGATCATGATGACAATGTTTGAGCTTCAGAATTAAGCTTTGATTAAAATTATACCTATCCCCCAAATTCCTTTTCTCTATTTAATCTAGTTTTAATTGCTGATATTCATATACAGCTAAAAGCCCTGATACAGAGAGCAAAGCAATTGCTTTGTGTCTGTAGACCTAGCGGTTGGCCTAGTTTTTGGTATCATGGAGGAAGTAAGTTCGAGTTAAAGGAGACCAAATATATTGGTATATATCTGTGCAAACGAATAAATTTTTATGACAAGGAAAATCAGATGACTAGAAACTGCTAATGATGTGGACTAAACTGGCTTGGTAGAGACTGGAGTGTAGGTAAATGCTGCAGTTTTTAGGACAGTGACCAAGTGGATATTGGTAACATTATGGACAAAGAGGTACTTGGTCAGTAAAGAATAAGGTGCCTTAGAGACTAGGTCACTGGTTCCTGTGGCTTCTTTACTAAGGAATATGTTAACCTGAATTCAAAGGACAAAATTAAGTAAAAATAAAAAGCTTGGAAGTCAACTGCACATATGTATGTGTTGAATTTAAGGGAGCGAATGAGGTTACTTAGTGTATAAAATGAGGAGAGTCTTGAGGAATGCCTACAGTAATACATTTTGACTGTACCCTCAGCAGAAGCCACATAAACTTCTTGAAAAACATTTTGATTACTCACTCATCTTTGATACTCCAAATATTGGCACAATACTTGACAAGTAATAGTATATTACTTCACATTTATTCTGAATACACGGACAAACCATTAATTATTCAAATAATCTCATGAGGAACTCTATGAACCGGGGGAAAATATTATGGGCCTCCTGTTTTCTTCATAAATATAGCCCATCTTCAGGTACTCGAAGCCTCATGCTTTCACAGGGGTAAAAGCTATTTCTACCTTTTAGGAAACCTGACAACCTCACACTGAATGATTGGTCTGGGTCTCTTTTCTTTACTTTTTGGCTGTCATATTGGGACCATCTCTATTCCTACCACATCAGGAGGTGGTGGGATGTGATGAAGCTTTGTAAGTGCAGAGGGCCTATTATTTCTTGACTTGTGTTTTTTCTTTTCTTTCTAGGATGTGAATGGCATCATGGAAAGGTACATGTGAGAGACCAAAGATGGTCTTTCTGTGCTGTGAAAAGTGGTTTAAAGCCAATACAGGTGTTTGGTGGTTAATTAGAATAAAATATCTCTCAGGGCAGAAAAATTTGAGTGTAGTTTTATCTTAAATTTCTGTTCATGAATCATGGTTAGTGTGTTCTATAAGAATGAACTTGATTCTGGGGATTTTGGGTGAGCAGAATGTGCAGTTTGGGTTAGTAGCAGTTAGGAATAAGGTGTTATATTTTGTACCTTCATACATTTTATTCATCTTGCATGCCCATATTGAACTCAGGTTACTATATTTCATAGCTGCTTTATCTTTTATGAGTAGGTCAGTGTAAAGGCAGCATCCTTGTACCTAAATTTGCACATCTACTTGGCTGCATCAGCCTATTCAGACACGTGAAACTCAGACCACACTTACTATGATGCTCATAATGTCTTCTTTTCCAAGTGTTATAATTTTTCCCAGTGATCATAAAATCTCAGATGTTATTCTGAGGGCTTTAGTACTGAGAAGCAGACTTGAAAGGTTTTGGTCCTCTTCAGACAGTATACTGACACTTGACAAGTCTCAAACAACAAGGGGCCAGGTTCTACAATCACACTTTCAAGTCATAACCAGGGAATCCACATCCATACAGTGACTTTGCCACAAATTAATTTGTTTTGGGGAATCAAAGTTTTGCATTAAAAAAATTATTTCATATAATTTAATATGATTTCTAGGAGGTAGAGAGGGAGAGGTTAGTTATTTTATTTTGGAAGAAATAAACTGCTTCTTGAGAGATTCAAGGTTTCCCAAGGTCAGACAGAGGGTAACTGAGAAGGTGAACAGGAGCACATTTCTTCCGGCTTCAAGGTTAGGAGTCTATTCTCTCATTTCTTGCAGTCTCCAGAGAAGTAGGTTCAAATGTTTCAATAGGGTGAATAAATAGGAAGTTAGTAGTTTTGGACAGACAAAATGTCACAGAGATATGTGTCAATTTCTGTCATCCTTAGGAGTAAGATTTTGATTCTGAAGACGCCAAAAACCTTTTTCAATAAACGAAAGAGAGTGTTCAAAGTTCCTAATTTGAGAGGGATCCTGCAAACGTTTAATGTGGGTGGCTGTGGGATTCTTGTAATGGTGAGTGCACAATAGAGAGGAGAGTTCAGTTTCTAGATGTGGATAGAGGAGACAAAGGAGGATGGATATCATGTGCTGATAACATGATCATATGTGAAGAGAATTGTCTAGGTGTCTGGTTCATCTCTCATTCTTCCATCTACTATCACACGTCCCCAGTCCTTCCTCTCATCTGGAGAGGAAATAGATTTTAATGCTGACTCTTTTGCTTATATTTAATATTATAGATTTTTTTCATTTCAGAGCTGAAAGATGTGTGATGCTACTGGTGTAAGGAGAAATCACAATATCATGAAGCCACCCTATTCTCACCTTCTTTCAGAATTTTGCTTTTTTTTTTTTTAACCAGGTCTCATTTCTTAAGACTCATGTTTTCCCTCCCAGCACGCACACACACACACACACATATTATATTTCTGCAGTGTTATACCTCTCCCCAAGAACAGAACTAATATCTTCCCGTTTCCCACACATGTTATTCTCAAGATTCCTCTTCAGTGTCACAAATAAAGCTACATCATATCCCTCACCTAACCTTGTGATTTTTCTACAGTTCACATGATCCTGGATATTCCTGAGAATAATCCAAATGTTGCTATTTCTTCATCAGAGACAAGTGAGATATGTGTTAGTTTGCAATACAAATTATCTACATCAGAACAGCAATTATAATGATTATGGTGACCTGAGATCACCCATTATCACATCAGGAAAACATTACTGGGAGGTAGATGTATCAATGAAAAGTGACTGGATCCTGGGGGTATATGGTAAAAAATGTCCTGACTCCAAACTTATGGGTTTTATTAGACAAAGTTAGAGTTATCAGCATGGTTTCTTGAGATAATCAACCTAAATATGGTTACTGGGTTATAGGGTTACAGAATCAGTTGGAATATAATGCTTTTGAGGACTCTTCCTCCCCCAATCCCTTGATAATAACCCTTTCTCTGAATGTTCCTCCCTGTCGTGTTGGGGTTTTCATAGGTCATAATGCTGGCACTGTCTCATTTTTCAATGTCACAAGCCATGGGTTTCTCATTTACAAATTCTCTTCGTGTTCCTTTTCCCAGGAAATTTTTCCATATTTCAGTCCAATGAAATGTGCTGCCCCCATGGCACTGTGTTCTCCAAACTCTTAACCTTTTATACCCTCACCCACTTCTGTGTGTGCCTCTGACCTTGGGTGCATCTAATACACTGGGTTATCTGCACCATTCTAACCATATTTTCTTTGCTGCCCTCCTTTATTCCATTTATCAACAGAGT